ATAAACCAACAAAAGCAATAGCAAGTAAAGAGAAGGGTGAATAGAGGACTCCCTGGATAATAAAATGGGCACTTTGGTGGGAAGCCTCTTCTGCTAAAAATGAATTGAAATTTTGAGAAAGAGATCTTTATTTTACTAACTAATATCCTAAAAAAATGAAGAAAATATGCCTTAACCCGTTCATGAACAAGAAGATCATTGGTTGTCAAGATAAACAGTGGATGGAGGGGGTACAGTACCGCCCACTAAATATGGTTTCAGGCGCTGGCCATTTACTTTAAATGTGCCCTGAACCGGGTGGGTGATTTCTATAGCCCCATGAGGAAAGACCTGAGTGATGGTGAAGGGTCCAGACCACCTGGATCTCAGCTTGCCTAGGAACAGGCGGAGACGGGAATTATATAACAATACCTGCTGCCCAACATAAAAATTCCGCCTCAGCAAATTCTTATCATGCCATCTTTTAATTCTTTCTTTATAGACCTTGGCATTTTCATAGGCGGCAAGTCTGAATTCGTCCATCTCATTCAATTGCAGCCTTCTTTTAGCCCCTGTGGCCTCAATATCAAAATTCAAGAATTTAAGAGCCCAATAGGCCTTGTGCTCTAATTCTACTAGTAAATGGCATGCTTTACCAAAGACCAACCTGTAGGGGGACATGCCAATGGGTGTCTTATATGCAGTTTTGTATGCCCAYAATGCATCATCTAACTTAATGGACCAATCTTTTCTAACAGATGCTAAAGTCTTTTCCATAATTCTTTTGAGCTCCCTGTTAACCAACTCCACTTAGCCACTAGTTTAAGGGTGATAAGGGGTAGCCAATTTATGTGTAATTCCATATTTTTGCATTAACCGCTCAAATTGGTTATTGCAGAAGTGAGTTTCCCTATCACTAATTATAGCTCGCGAAGTGCCAAGTCGGGAGAATAGCTTCTTCAGGAAGTGTACCACCCTCCTTGAGTTATTTGTGGGCAAAGCCATGGCTTCCACCCATTTAGATACATAATCAACAGCAACGAGGATGTATTTATTCCCAAAAGAATTCGGGAAGGGTCCCATGAAGTCTATACCCCAAACATCAAAGATTTCGCAGATTAAAATATTGGAAAGGGGCATTTCATTCTGTCGGGAAATGTTTCCTGACCTTTGACATTTGTCACATGTGGACACATACTTGTGGGCATCCTTGAATAATGTAGGCCAATAAAAACCTGATTGCAAAACCTTGGTTGCGGTGTGACTAGCTTCAAAATGACCTCCTGCTTCTTTATCATGGCAAAATTGGAGTACTGACTCCATCTCCTCCTCAGGGACACATCTCCTTATGATCTGATCTGCACACAATTTATACAAAAAGGGTTCCTCCCACAGATAGTATTTTACATCAGAAAGGAATTTCTTCTTTTGTTGATATGATAGGTTAGGAGGAATGACTTGTGCAGCTAGATAATTTGCAAAATCAGCATACCAAGGAGTTGCATATTCTTGAATTGAGTACAGCTGTTCATCCAGAAATTCTTCTCGAATGTTGTTGGTTATCTCCTTTTCTGATCTTACATTGTCTAACCGGGAGAGATGATCAACAGCCAAGTTTGCAGCACCCTTCATGTCTCTAATCTCAATATCAAATTCTTGTAGTAGAAGGATCCACCTGATCAGTCTTGGTTTTGAATTTTTCTTGGTAAGCAAGTGCCGTAATGTTGAGTGATTTGTGTATACAACAACTTTGGAGAATATCAGATATGAACAAAATTTGTCAAGTGCAAAGATTACTGCTAGCAACTCCTTTTCTGTGGTGGCGTAATTGAGTTGGAGTCCATTCAAGGTTTTGCTAGCATAGTAAATTGGCTGAAAATGTTTGTTCACTCTTTGTTCCAAAACAACTCCTACAACAGAATCACTCGCATCACACATTAATTCAAATAGGATGGTCCAATCTGGTGCTACCATGATAGGTGCATGGATCAATTTGTCTTTCAAGGTGTGGAAAGCATGAAGGCATTTTGTTGAAAATTCAAAAGGCACTTCTTTCTGAAGCAAAGTAGATAGTGGCTTGGCAATTTTTGAGAAATCCTTAATGAACCTCCTATAGGATCCGACATGCCCTAAGAAACTTCTTACGGAATGGACAGATGATGGGGGTGGCAATTTTTCAATTGCCTCTACCTTGGCCTTGTCGACTTCTATACCTTTTTGAGAAATCTTGTGTCCAAGCACTATGCCTTCTTGCACCATAAAATGACATTTTTCCCAATTCAACACAAGATGTGTTTCTTCGCATCTCCTAAGCACATGTTCCAGATTATTCAAGAATGCATCAAACGAAGAGCCGAAAACTGAAAAATCATCCATAAAGATCTTGATAAATTTTTCAACCATATCAGAAAATATAGACATCATACATCGTTGAAAGGTTGTTGGGGCATTATATAACCCAAAGGGAATCCTTTGGTATGCAAAGGTACCATACAGGCAAGTAAAAGTGGTCTTTTCTTGGTCTTCTAGTGCAATTGGGATCTGGTTATACCCCGAATATCCATCCAAGAAACAATAATACTCATGCCCGGCTAGCCTCTCTAACATTTGGTTCATAAATGGGAGAGGGAAATGGTCATTCCGGGTGACTTCATTTAACTTTCTATAGTCAATACATACACGCCATCCGGTGACAGTTCTAGTCGGGATGTCATGACCCAGAAAAGGGAGAGGTTCACGGGTCAGAGATTCAATCGGGGTTGAACCGTGTATATCTATCTATCTGTGTGTGTGTGTGCAATAAATAATATATATATATATATATATATATATATATATATATATTGTAAATTGTATATTATATTATAATATATTCAAAATGTATAATTATATTATACTATAACATTTTTATTTTATTTTATATTATAATGTAATGTAATATAACTTATATAATATCTAATATTATATATATTATACATCATACTATATAAAATGCATAATTATATTATATATAATTATATACATAACAATATTAATTACATGCATCTATTCAAAACATATAATTTTATTCTTCTATAACATATATTTTTATTTTAGTTTCAATTTTTATATTAAAAAAATAAGATTTGAGGCAAAAAAAAAGTGTTTTGGCAAAAATAGTGGGGTTTGGCACCTTGGAAACACGCAGATCTCAAAAAGTTATTCAAAATAAAAAAAAGATCATCCTATATTCCTATTAGACATCCAAGCACAAAGCTATAACCTTTAGAAATTTGCATTAATTATGTAGTAAAAATTAACATATTCTTAACATATATTCAAAATATATAATTATATTTTGTTATAACATATTTTTATTTTATTTTATAATGTAATGTAATACAAATTAACTTAATAAATTAATTAAGAACTTGATACAGATTTAACAGAAAATAATATGAATTAATAAAATGCTAAAACTTACTAAAGTTTAACACAATTTAAATCAAAATCATCTAATAATAATTTATACAAATAAAACTAAATTAAAATCAAAACCATGTAATAATAATTAAAAATAATTCAAATTTCTATAACAATATATAATTCAAAATTAATGATTAGATTGGGCTCAATTTGACTTGCCCGATCGAGAATGTGAAAAGGCTCCTGTTACCTCAATTTTACTTAACAAACTCCATACATTGACATATCTCCGTTAGTAAAACCATTATACAAAATAATAAAAAACAGTCCACTCTAACCATCAAAGACATAAAATTGAATTTACATTCTTTACTTTATGTTTGGAGGRGCCTTTTCTTTTATGGTTTTGAAAATCAGATCGGACCAAACGGTCAGACCAGTTGATTTGGGAACCAGTTTGGGTTTGGCTTTAGACCCCAAAACTGTCCGATTTGGGTTTGGACCAGAAGTCAGACCATTTTGACCAAAAAACTGGTGGCCAAAGCAGTTCTATTTTTGGTCTGATATTCAAAACTATGGAGTATGGGCAAATGAAAACTCACACGGTCACGCCCATCCAAATGGAACCCTCTCCCGAGTCAAGATGTGATCGATGAATAATTTTTTATTTTTTCCAGTGTTTGGAGAACCGGATCAGACAAAACCCAGAAAAAGAGAAAGGTTTACAGGTCAGAGGATGCAAATGGATCGGATTAGATTCGAATCAGGATATATTTGAATCTAATCTGACATTGTTCATGTCAGATCTGATCAATTCGAAGATTCAATCGGATCTGATAGAACTCGACTCGAATTCAAATCCTATCGGTAAGTTGAATTTGATCCGATCCAACTTGTTTTTTTTAATTAATAAATTATTAAAAGAAAATAAAATATACTAATTTAAATAAAGTAAAAACAAAAAGAATACAAGTATTTTTTTAATTATTTTCATCATATATACATGTCTTTTATAAAAATAAATAATACAACAATTTTATAAAAATATAATATGAAAAATATATTTATAAATAAATAAATAACATATATATATATATATCTATTATATATATATATATTTATATTTATAAATATATAATATATCGGATCAAATAGGGGTGATCTGAATCCGATACGACTATCCAATCAAGGGTAATCTGAATTCGACCAAATAGGATCGGATTGGATCATGATTCGATCCATTTGCACCCCTAGATGACATATGTGTGTGTAATAATTATAATATATATAATATTATATTATGATAAATTCAAAATATATAATTATATTCTTTTATAACATATATTTTTTTTTATTTTAGTTTCAAACTTTTATATTAAAAATTAAGATTTAAGGCCAAAAAAGGCATTTTTTGGTAAACATTAGTGGGGTTTGGCACCTTGAGAACACATAGAGATATTGTTCCAAGCACAAAGGTATGACCTTTAAAATTTTAAATTATGTACTAAAAAATTTTCAAAAACACCAGCCGGTTTTTAAAAACAGAGACCCGGGTTCGGTTTAACCGTTCGAGTTGACGGTTCGTCCGATATGATCTGGTTTTCTAAACACTGATTTCCCCTGATCGGGCAAAACGCCGCAAAATAGAAAACTTGCTTCAAGCCGCAAAAGAGAGGACTTGCTTGAAGCCGCTAAGCAAAACAGAGAACTTGCTTCAAGGTGCAAAGGAGAAAACTTGCTTCTTCTTTTTATTTATTTTTTATCAATAAAGTGAAAGTCAGAAAACAAGCAGCAAAATAGCGAACTTGTTTCAAGGCGCAAAACAGAGAACTTGCTTCAAGGTGCAAAAGAGAAAACTTGCTTCAAGCCGCAAAACAGAGAACTTGCTTCATGTCAGATAATCAGTTGTTGCAGTTGATCTTTAAAGCTTGTGACAACTTCGCACAATGCATTCAGACACATTTCTCACATTTCATCGGTAACGCAATCCACAGTTCCCCCGTAAATCAACGACCTCTCTTCTCTCTGAATTCATCGCCATCGTCCAAAATATTAGAAAAAAATGATGGTTCTAAGCTTCTCCAACGCAGAGAGGATTTAACCCAGGTAGGCTCTCCTCTCTCTCTTTCTGCTTGAGTTTGGCTTCTTTAATTCATCAAAGCAATGGCCATTATAGCCTGCCAATTGCTTGACAGAATTCCCGGTAGAACATAACATTACTAAACTAATAGCGATTTGGGGCTTGGGGCATCCTTTACATTATCTGTCTATTATTGTAAATAGCAACAAGGACCAGAGGGTACTAATAAATCACCTCAAAAGAGTTTAATGTTTTGAAATGCTTCTTTTATTTATCTGATATTTTCACTCCTAACCTTTGGTTTATCAGTTGCAATTACTTAGGAGCTTTTATCTTGATTAGTGATACCTATGTGGACTTTTAGTATTTAGATAAGAAGTCTGTGGATTGTTATTCTTAGTTTCTTTCTGGTTGCAGGAGCAAACCAAACCTTTGACTAAAGAAGAACTGGGACGTGCTACTTGGACGTTGCTGCACATGGTTGCAGCTCAGGTATTCATTTCTTGCCGTCTCTGAGATCTGTTTCTTCCAGTCAACTGTTTTTTTGGGTTAATTAATACTTCTTTATAGACAAATGCTCATTTGCTTGATGAAAGGTCATGTAGTGCACAAAGAAGTTAATGGTCAAAGACTATCAGAAGTGGAGATAGAGCCAGGTAAAAAAGGTGTAGGGGTCACCTTGTATTGTAATCAAAGAAGTAATGGGTCACCCTATGTGGGGGTCTTTTTGATAGGCGTATTTTTGTAGGGTTTTCAAACTAGCTTTCACCATGAAGCTTAGGGGTCAAAGCATGGGATAAAATTCAAAATACAAATATAAGACTTGTTAACTTCACGATGAAAGGAAAAAAAAATGTTACAATCTATGTCATTCTCTAAGATGGTTCTTTTAATTTATGTTGATTTGTTTTCTTCTTGAAAGGGAAATATGTTTGCTAGTTCAACTTAGAACTTTGGTGGCTTGATGATAGAGTTAGGTAACTTGGTCTATACTTTTGATTTCACATTGATTTTTATGAAACTTATATTGAAGTTGGTTTAAGAAATGCCAGGCTTAGTTAAGTACCAAAAATGATATTTAAGCCTTTTATGTTTCGAAATCCAAAAACGTTTCAACGTTTAATCACTTTGCATAAATATGTATGTGTGAGTGAATTCCAGTGCCATGTCCAGGAGATTGATTTAGTCATGTTGGGATGCATTTAAGGTTTCAGAGTTGTCCTAATAAGGTGTAGGGACATTCTAGTTGTTCCGCATTTACTTAGGCTAACTTGTGATGCAATTGTGTGAATAAATATGGCAAGCTGATTTTTAGGGATGCAAATGGACTGGATTGGATTCAGATTGGGGTATAACCAAATCTAATCTGATCCAATCCAAAGATCCAAGCAGATCTCACAAAGGTCAATTTGAATCTAAATCTGATCCGATCTGATTTAATTTCTGTAAAACTTAACAAATTATTAAAACGAAAAAAACACAAATCTATATAAAGAAAAACAAAAAATACAAGCATTTTTTTCAACTATTTTCATTATATATATATATATATATATATTGGATTGGAGGTGATTCAAATTTGATCTGATTTTTAATCAGATCCTAGTATCCAATCTGATCTGATCCAAAAATCTGATAGGGGGATATCTGAACTCAACAAAATAGAATCAAATTCGAATTCAGATCGGATGATGGTCTGGTCCATTTGCACCCCTAGCTGTTTACTTTTTTCCTTCTATAGAAAATCACACATGGTAGGACAGGAGTTAAACATGGATCCTTAATGATTCGCTGAAAAGGAATGGCAAAAGGGAAGGGGAAGTAGGTTGGAATTCCATGCACATCATGAAATATGTCTGCTCTTTAACAATATATTTTTCTAAGCTGTACATCATGACGTATATCTATTCTTTACAAACCTGAAGAGAAAAAAAAGAAGTACATCTATAAATTTCTTCATTCATAAAAAAAAAGAAGTATATCTAATCTTTCACAAATTGTTTCCCATGCTAAGGATTGGCATAGAATGAATGATATTGTAAACATTATTGTTGATTTGATTTTATTGCCTTGTGATCTTGTTTGTATGTTTCATTTGTTAAAGGCTTTCAAAATATTTGCTTTCTATTTATTTGGAATGGATTATTTTTCTTATAACATTTTTGCTTGTTTCAGTATCCTGATCATCCAACTAAACAACAGAAGAGAGATGTAAAGGAACTGGTAAGTGATCACTCACTGCGTGTGTGTGTCTGTGTGTGTGTGTGTGTGTGTCTGTGTGTGTGTGTGTGTCTGTCTGTCTCTCCCTACTCTTCTCAGGGATACCTTTTTTATATGTATGTTTGGTTGAGTCAGCAGTCCAAAAACGAAAGCAGTGAATTGCAATAGTCATTTTTTACACATTATGAGGTGGATCTACAAACAAACTTACAATATTGTCTGGCGGTTGGTTTGTACAAGGCAAATGTCAATCTTGGCAATTCAGAATCCAGAGTTTTCTTATTGAATGCTGATTAGGTAACAACTCAAGGAGACAAGGAGTGCTTGCACACACTCTAGTTGACAAAGCACAGCTTAATAGGGTTGCAAAGGCCAATATCTCAAGTGGAAAAGGTATACAAAGGCTGGACTGAGTAGGGAAACATAGGTTCTTTCAATAATGAGGAGTGTGGAATAGAGGTATAGTTGGGCTGGAACCTAGCATTATTAAAGGTGTGCAAGTGCTATTAATTGGAATACCTGTTAAAGGGAGAAGTGGAAAATATGATTAGTTAGGATTGAGAGAGAATTGAATGAAGAAAGAGGGAACAGGGAGAAGACTGAAAAATTAGAGTGGTATATAAATGTGACAGAGAACATGAAGAGATGATCAAAATCAGAGAAGACTAAAGATCTGTAGTGGTGTTAAGCAGGGAAGCTTCAAGTTGGTTGAAAGGGTTCATTGATGGCACTTTATTTGCCATCACATAGACTGGATGGAAAGGGGAACTATGTTTGCAAAAGGAAAAAATTATTGTGGAGAAGAAGAACAATGACAGGGGAGATTTCATTCAATTGACAGAAAAGTTTGGACTTGGTAAGAAGCAAATGGTTTGTACTTTGTATTCCTGCCGGAAAAGAAAAACAAGGGTGGCTGATGTTTGTGGAGGCCCTGGACGTTTATGAACAGAGGAATTGGCTTCTGGAGAACCGAGCAGAACACATGAAGGCTCCTATGGTAACCCCAGAGTCGAGACACTTGTCTGAGAATACCTATGACATGAAGAAACTAGCAGGAGGAGGCATTTACAGAAGTTCCATATCCTCGAAATTGATGGCTGAGGGGAGTATGGAGGAGTAGAGAAGAAGAAAGGTGGCTGACTGGGGAGGAGTTTTACAGGATATAATGGCCTCTGTTCCGGTGATGGAAAGGGCATCTCTTCACCCTTTTGGTGAAATGCAGCGGTATTAGATTTGGGTAGCCGATTTGAGAATTACTCAGAGTTGCCACTAGAGAGGGAGTAGCAATGGTAGAAAACTGGACCCCCTCTTGCAATGAGGTGGAAGTAGAGTGCGATGCCATTAGGCTGAAAATTGTGGGACTCCCCATTCAATCTTTGGACAGAGGAAGTTTTTGATCCAGATTGCAGTGTTGTGTGGAGGTTCCCTTCAAGAGATGGATTTGTTTGATCTTTGTCAACAATTTATATAGGTTATAGGTGTCGTTAATATTGTTACTGATAAGCATGGCATATAAAGTCTGAAATTAATATTTTCTGTAGCATTTACACATAAAGAACTTTAGCCAGCTTAGATTTTTTCTTTCTATAAAAGTGGGAACATCAAAGGAAGACACTTTTATCAAATAGGAAGTTGGCTGTTTATTTTTCTTTTAAACATGGGCAAAATTTTGGATAATCAATTAAGAATGGTCAACCTATGACCCAGTAATTGAGAGGGTCACTTTTTAAAAGGAGGCATGGGATCAAACCCATGGAACTGCAGGCTCTTCATGGTATGGCCAGTGGGCTTCACATGCACCCTGCTCTGGCCCCTCCCTTGTACCCCCACTAATGTGTATTACGTACTACCCAAATAATAGTAATAATAATGACCAAGGGACTAATACCATACTATGCTTGAAATGCAGATGGCAATATTATCTCGGATTTACCCTTGCAGGGACTGTGCAGATCACTTCAAAGAAGTTCTAAGGTAAAGCATTTTGACATATATTTCATGACAGCCTGATTTCCACAAATAAATCTGATTATATGTGATAGGAATATCGCCTTGTTGTAGGCATGCCATTTCTCTTAGTTTATTAGGTTAATAGGAACCATACAATTATACAAATCGTTAGATGCAAAACTATAGTGGAAAATTGGACTTGGATTATAATGAATCATTCCTCGTATGGAAGGTTAATCCATCACTTATGGAATTGAAGGGAAAAAAATCTACTTGAAGATGATAGTCTAAGCACTAATAATTTAACAATAGATATGGCTTTAAATAGAACGGATTGGTGAAACGGGATTCATGTAGTGACCCCATTTAGTTGGGATAAGGCATGGGTGATGATGATGAAATAGGGCTGTCAATTGGACTTGGTTCAATCCAATATTGGTCCATTTACAAATGGATTGGACCCAATCCAGTCCAAAACCATACAAACCAAGTCCAATCTAGTCCAATTTAAAGGCAAATGGACTGGATTGGGTCCAATCCAATCCAAAGTAAATCAAACACCAAAATAACATGAGAAACCTAGAAAATATATAAAAAAACTACAACGCTTGCTGCAATCCAATCCAATCCCATTAAAATGCAAATGGACCGGATTGGGTCCAATCCAATCCAAAGTGAATGAAACACTAAAATTACATGAAAAATCCAGAAAATATTAAAAAAATACAAAAAACATCTTTTGCAATCCAATCCAATCCAATTACAATGCAAATGGACCAGATTGGGTTCAATCCAATCCAACTCCAATTCATCTTTAATAACAAAAGACTCATCAATAAGAGAACTTTGTCTTCTTTCCTATTTACCTTGGTAGCTGAGGTGTTTAGTAGTCTTATTGTAAGAAGTGATAACTTGGGACTATTTAAAGGTTGGAGGGTTAGGAGAGAAAGCACGATTGTTACACATTTGCAGCTTGTTGATGATACAATTATCTTTTGTGAGAGTGGTGATCCTTAGAAGGCAAGTAATTTGAAGCAAGTGATTAAACTGTTTGAATTTGTGTCTAAGTTGAAGATCAATTTTGAAAAGAGTTGTGTAGTGGGACTGAACTTGGAAGAGGAGATGGATGGGGTTGCAGAAGCCTTAGGTTATCCTACTGCTAGGTGGCCTTTGAAATATCTAGGTATGCCCTTAGGAGCCAACCCATGGGAAGGAAGCTTTTGGAGCCCAATTCTTGAAAGATGTGCCAAGAAATTGTCAACTTGGAAGAGGAATTATGTATCTCTAGGAGTTGTATTACTCTAATTAAGTCTACTTTAGATAATCTTCCAGTTTTCTTCCTCTCAATATTCAAGATCACAAAGGGAGGTATTGAAAGTAGAGAAGATCATGAGGGAGTTTTTGTGGGAGCTTGGTGAAGGAAGGAGAGATCACTTGATGGGATGGGATTTAGTTTGTAGAAGTAAAGAGCAAGGGGGTTTGGGGTTAGGCAATATAGGGAAGAAGAATGAAGTTTTATCAGGTAGATGGCTATGGAGATGGCCATTTGAGAGAAAGAGGCTTTGACATAAGGTGGTGGTAAGTATTCATGGTTATGCAGGAAATGGTTGGAATGTTAGAGTGTCTCGGTGGGCTACTCTAAACTCTCTGTGGAAGGCTATTCATGGTATCCTTCCCCAATTCTTCAGCCTTATCAGGTACGGTGTGTGTACTGACAAGATTCTCTTGTGGAAAGACACTTGGATTGGTAATTCCACCCTTAAGGACCTTTATCCATCTTTCTATTCCCTCTCCCTTTTTAAAAGTAAACCCATTCAAAGATTTGTTTCTTTCTCCCAATCCTCTGRATTTAGTTAGAATATGGGTTTCAGAAGAGATCTAAGAGATTCTAAACTTGATCAAGCTGATTTTTTACTCCAAACACTAGACACTATTTGCTTTGACTTTTCTAAACCTGGTGCTAGAATTTGGACCCCCAACTAAAATCATCTAGATGCCCCCAACTGAACTCAATCAAGAGGAGGTATCAAAACAGGAGTATATCCCATATTCAAACAAAAGGAGTGCACTTAAAAATTATTATGTTCCCTTTTTTCTTTCTCCATATATTCCAATATATGGGAAAAGGTTCTGAGTTCTGACTTTACATAGATTCTTGAGCGACACTTCTGCACATCAATTCCAGATATGTGCTGGATTAAGACTATCTTATCCGTGTCCATCTAAAACTGGATTTCAACTTCTCAAACTTGTCTTCTTTGAAATGAATTATACAGAAAAATACTTATTGGACTGTTCCAAACTCTCACTATCCCACTATCTATCTAGCCATGTTATAACTCTTTACCATCAAGCTATTAAAACTGGATTGGATTGGACTAGTCCAATTCACTGTCTTATTGGACTATATGCTCCCTCTTAGTTAATATGATCATATTGTATGTCAAATAAGATCAGGTTTGGCACTTTGGGTTGAGTGGGATTGTGCTACCTGAACCCTAGAAAAGTGAACATAAACCCAACCTAAAACCTGATTTGACTAGTCCAAATTGGATGTAACCTGACTAAATTGCACCCCTACTTGTATTTCATTTATGTATTTTGAATCTTGTATTTCATTTGTAACATAATTTAGTTCTAAAACCTGTTGTTAGAAGCACAAATCACAGTAGACTAGCTGATCCAAGCATCAACAAGAATTGGTTTTGGTCAAGCTAAATAAAGTATTGTTACAGCCTACAGAGTGCTTGAGGTTACCCAATGTCTTACTGGACTGTACAAATCGAGGGCTGGCTCGTTGGTGTGTTAGCTGGGTTGTCCTAGCATGGACCCGGATTCAAATCTTACAACCAGCACTTTGGGGAAAGGGGGGGGTGTAAAGGGGAAAGGGAAAAGTTATTGCTGATTAACCAAAAAAAATGTCTTACTGGACTGTTCAACATGGACTGGATTGGACTGGTCCAACTCAATGTCTTATTGGACTGTCCAAGTTGTTCAAATTGGTTTTAATTTAGACTGTGTCCAACCCAAACCTGGTCCATTGACAACCTCACTCTTGTCTTCAGTCAATAGATTGGTTCAACCCAACCCAGTCCAATATAAACCATTACAGATGGACTAGGTCTAGTCCAACCCAATCCAAATTTTATAAGAAAATATTTTATAAAAAATTATAAACAAAAGTATAACTTGTGAAGCAAAACTGTCCAACTTAGATGCATGGCATATGCCTAATCATTTGYTCAGTTAAATTAGATAAACACCAACATTTTGCAAATCAATAAGCTAGTTATAGATCATTTGTCATAGCTTACATGTTCGGTTAGTCTAAGTTGTAGAAGCCACACATATAGGAGAGGTAGTAGTTGCTTCAAGATCCAATTTTTAACTTACTTTTTGTAGTTGTTGGAGCTTCTAATTAGTCTTTCCCACAAACTAAAGCTTCCATAGTCTCTAGAAATAATGAAGTACGATCTTGATTGACTATTCTACCCCCAATACTGAATGTTCTTGTGGATGCTATAGTGGATACTAGAAGCCCTTGGTCTGAAAGCCACAATGAGTCTACACGGGGGGGAAGTGGGTGAGGAATCTCGCAGAGAGACAATAATTAGGGAAATCTTAGAAAGCCTCTTGGGTGAAGTGGAAAGGAAGGATTTGCAGAGAGGGAGCCTGGAGGGGACAGACAGGGTTGTGGTTGGAGGTAAGGTGAGAAGGAACAAGAAGCTTCCTAGGAGTGAGGAGAGTGCTTCTTTAGGGAAAGAGGAAACTTTTGGGGAAGAGTCAGTTGCAGAGTTTGTGAAAAAGTTTGGGTGTAAGCTGAAGAACCCGAATGACCTAAAAGCCTACATGCAAAATAAAGAGGACAGCAAGATGAAATTTAGAAGGCTGAGTGAAGTGGAGAGATTAAAAAAAGATATTGAGGGGGACAAGAAGTTC